AGGGTCTCAGGGTCTGAGGTCTGTAGGTCTGAGGGTCTCAGGGTCTGAGGTCTGCAGATCTGTAGGTCTGAGGGTCTCAGGGTCTGAGGGTCTCAGGGTCTCAGGTCTGTAGGTCTGAGGGTCTCAGGGTCTGAGGTCTGCAGATCTGCAGGTCTGAGGGTCTCAGGGTCTAAGCTGGGACCTCACCTGTCCGGCGAAGAAGCCGCAGACTCCAATGATGCAGAGGATGTTGAAGACGGCCGAGCCGACGATGGTCCCGACTCCAACGTCACCTTTGGTGATGAACACACCTGGAGAGAAACCGGGTCAGGAAACCCAGAACCACCCGGGTCTTCAGAGATCAGAGCAAAAACCCATCCCTTCTCAGATATTTTATTCTTTTGTGTYGTGTTTAAAGTCTCTGCTCCAGAGGAACGTCTGTAATTTATTCTCTAAACTACAAAAATCTTTAGATTTGATTGTTTTTTCTGATATTCTGCTGTTTCAGATGAGGTTCTGTTGGCTCTGAGTCTGATCTCATGGTTCTGATCAGGACTCAGAGTCTCAACAGAGGAGTCTGATCTGGTTCCTGATGGTAGGAAGGTGCAGGAGGTGATAGACCGTGGCCCAGGCAGTGAGGAGGACATCGCTCCGGTCCATGCTGGTGAAGGAGTCAGGCTTTAATCAGAACTTTTTTTATGGAAACACCTGGTTTTGTATCATGTTTGTGTTTTATATTTTTATGATGAATCTTTTTGATTTCAAATCAGTTTTAAACACAAACAAACACATGAAGTCTTCTTTAGATTTATAAGTTTTTGTGTACAGAGTACACTGTATTCTGAGACAACAACTGTTGTGATTTGGCGCTACTGTATATAAATAAACTGAATTGAAATGAATTAKGYCACGATTCTCCTGATTTCTCTTCTCCTGAGTTTGTTTCATCKTATTTTCTGCTGAACAAACTGAAGCTGAGCTTCTATCATCAGARGAGTTTAGTTTGAAGTAGAAACTCTTCTGGACAGACTCCGGTAACGTTACCGATGACAGAGGTGAAAAGCTCAGGTGCAGAGCTGCCGGCTGCCATGAACGTTGCTCCGGCCACGTCCTCGCTGAGGTGGAGGCGCTGAAGAGAAGAAGAAATAAAGTTTTCTGGACTCGTCTGAAGGACGTTCTGAAGAACCTCAGTCTGTAGGACTCTCACCTCACAGATCTTCTCCAGAGACGGGACGAAGTAATCATCGCAGACCAGAGCCAGAGAGCAGAACACGTAGACGGTCTGAGGACAGAACCAGAGGGTCAGAACAGGTGAGTCACAACTAGGGCTGCAACAACAAATCGATAAAATCGATAAAAATCGATTATTAAAAGCGTTGGCAACGAGTTTCATTATCGATTCGTTGTGTCGCGCGATTTATGCGTCCATCGCCGTGTCGCAAAACCGTTTACGTCACCTGCAGAGTGTTGTCAATGCTGGCTGAACTGAATAAAGTTTAGGAAGAAAAAAAACTCTACCTGTAAAGATCTGCCCTCTCTGAGACCCTCGAGTGAAAAGTAGAGACTTCGAACTTTAAACCAGATTTTAAATTGTGTTGTTAGACCAAGTAGATCCGAAGTTATGATAAAAAGTATATGATACATTTTATTTTTTAAATGACGGTCTGATTTGATGCGAGCCGCATCGCAACAAAGACGCARGAGGAAGCAGGTCCCGTGGGGCGGAAAAAAATAAACAAACAAACAAAAAAATCTCAGTCCATTGGTTGTTTCCTTCTTCTCTCAGGCCAGAAATATAAAACCCTCGTCTTTTTTTCTGACCGAGGCTCAAAGTTATTTAATAAGCAGCAAAAAGCTTCAGGACGAAGGAATAGTAATAATAATAAAAAAAGACGTGAGCAGAACTCCTGGTCTGACTCAGTAGGGGAGAGGGGAGGGATGGGGGGCATTCAGTCAGTGTTTGATAC